TCACTATAATACGGTATAAATAAATGATCAAGTCTCTTCATTCGATTTTTTGGTTTGTCACTATCCTTATCAATCAATTGAGGCCCACCAAAAATCATACGGCCTGAATTAAGGCCTTTATGAGATATCTGCATCGACGTTAACACGGGGTGCAAGAAATGCACTAATCCTAACCAAAAGTAGGAACAAATTAAATGAAAAGGAATCGTAAGACACGCAAATCATTTGCATCATATTCACATGGTATCTTTCGGCATAGACATGTCCAAATGCTCCGGTGCAATATTTAAGGAGTTTTCAACGTATGTTCTCCTTTTCCTATCCCGAATATAGTTTACATCAAACTTCGGCTTTGCAGTCATATTCAGATGACTTGCACCTATGTATATGTATATTTATGATGCACTGAGCGTCTACATCCATCTGCAAAGAAGATAAACCCATCTGTACTTTCTGTAATTTATCACCTCTAACCGTCATACACGTGATTATGGACTGCTCTGCCCTCAGGGATCTCCAATCACAGATTTACTCACCTACAGTTAAAAGGAATACAAACCCACTAACATGCGATGAACCCAATGTCACTACCAAACTTCCGTAACTCTTTGCCTCTCTTAATTTAAAAATCTACATTTTTGTACGTACTACCATTTTCCAAATTCTTTGTAAAGACGTTAATAGCCTATGACGCTGAATGTCTTTAAATAAATAAATTAACTAACTAACTAACATTTAATAATCAATGAACTGAAAATGAATGTAAGCACACCAGCTGAACAGCATCGGTCGCCACTGAACTGCTATATATGGAGCTCGAGGATTGAAATTAGACAACTCAACATTACAATGCTTCCCAATCAGAATCAAGTGCAAATAAAATGTGGAAAAGTTATTTCATTTTTTTACTCACTTATAATCAAAATTTGGCTCGAGAATATTGATCAGCTCCTCGTGATAAGATTCATTCGATGATTTATTCTTAGGCTCATTGTTGACCCACGTACAGCATTTAGAGCAGAACTCACAGCGGTTGTATTGGTAATATTCTACGAAGAAATAATCGATCGGATATTTTTCTCGTACCACAGCACGCCATGAGACCAGAATGGAATTGTTGCCCTTGATCTCCATTTCCGGTACGGACGGAGGCAGCAAATCTATAAGAATTCATTTAACATTTCGTTACGAAAATAGAATGTAAGTTTATGATCAAGCTATTCCAATGGTCTAATATGAGGATTGTGTATTTTGGGGTTTTAAATCAATTTTCAACTTCGCAAAGCTACAATTTCTTTTATTTTTCTTTTTCAAGGAAATCTAAAACTAGTATTTCCTTGAAACTTTGGGAAAAATTATTCAGTGACATGTAGTAGTTCACCGAATTTTTGTTAAAAAAATCCGTTGGTTTAGTTTCCTTAACAATAAAACAAAAAAGAAAAAGAAAACAAAAAAACAAGAAAGGAAAGCAATTTCGCTAATGGAGGTGCAACTTCGTCAACAGTAGCTGTCGAAGAAGTGAGTCGAATCGTTTATGGCATAATCCGAAAAGATACGGACTTTTTCTCCTTAGTTTTTATCATCATAATAATATGTGCAATTTCTACTCACTTGGATCTCGTGTCGGAGGATTTTCGTCAAATTCAAGATTCTCCTCTTCCTCCTCATTCCGATAGCACATCTCGGTATGGCTTTCATCTTCTCTCTTTTTCTTGTCGTTCGTCAACTTTTCTGGGTCACCCAGCAAATTCATCAG